TCCTGAATAGTTTTATACAATTTTTATAGGCGTGGCATTCGATTTTAAATGTACATATCAATTGTCGTAGTTTTAAGGTCTTCCCTTTTGTTCAATTATAACTAAGTTAAGTCTTCAATTGAATGGGTTGCTGAGTCTTCACTGCAACTGAATTCTGTATTTATAAATAAATACATAAATAAAAAATCTGCCTAACGCGCTTCCAATATTTCATATTTTTTATATAATTTCAAAAATATGCGTAAGCAGCAGAAAATATTTCAAGTATTGAGATAAGCAAATTGCTCTTTGGTAGCTATAGTCATTGTATAAACAAAATTTCTCGACAATATAGTTGAATTGACTTACTAGATTGAGTTCGGATGGGGTGAACCAATTTTTTGAGCTTTTTATGTAAGGAAAGTACGCCTCTACATCGAATTGCTTGCATTAGACGAGGTCTGAAAGAAAATGTACTAGTAGTACCTGCGTGTGGCCGCATCTATAAAGTATACAAAATCGATAGCATTGTTGTGCTGCAGAATATTGTCTTGCTCGTAAACATTTAGCTAGCTCTATCAAACAACTATCTTACTCCATTTCTCATCATACGAAAAATTTGACAATTTCGTGAACGTAAGTGGTATCGCATTTTACATTTTTATATTCTTGTATTAGATACGAATCCTTTTTTTAAAGATGCAAGTAAATATATTTAAACTTGAGCCGATAGCCTAAGTGCTGGCGCTTTAAGGCTTTAGTCTTCGAATTTTTTCTCTAGTTAAATTAATAAGAAATTAAATTAAATTTACCAAACCGAAAATCAGTTAGAAAAGCAATTTCAGAATCTTTCTGCAGTTCCGTTCGTTAAATTATTTAAAGAAGACTTACAAAAATTTGGCAAAGTGTGGATACATTCATTATTTTGCCTTATTAGTTAAATTTGAAAATAAATTCTGTGTTATCCATCATATTATTTTTCTTTCAATAAAGAAGTGTTTATACTTTTCTATCACACTCTAAAGATACGAAAATTAGCCGCCAATGTTTATGTACTTTCTTTTTTTAGCAAAGTTTTCGCACAATTAAAATCAGCTGTTTGTATTTCAGGAAATTGGAAGAGGCAAACATAATAAAACTTCGCAAGCTTATAACGCATTACCAGCCATTTCCATTTGTAAACAAACAAATACAAAACGCGCACAATATGGCTTCAAATTAGAATAATTAATAAAACCAAATAATTTTCGATGTTCTCATAAAACTTAAGCAAATTATGAAGATTAGTCAAACAATTTCTCAGATCTTTGCACTAATTTTTTCATAATCAGGCCGCAGGTAAATATTTTAAATTTTGTAATGTTTTCAGCGTTTATAAACCAGTTTTCTAAAATTGTCATCTACGGATTAGTCTTCAATTGGGACTTAAACTGTATTAGCAACCCCACATGACTATTTATGCTACGTTTGTCGATAGTAAAACCTGGCAATATTTTTAAATGCACAGTATATACAGCAGTTCATTTAGAAGATTTAGAAGTTAATAAGATTTCGTGAACAATAAGTAAAAAAAAACGAAACGAGCATTGTACAATTAAGTTCAACTTTTGCGTTTTTTTTTAGCAAAATTTTAAAATGGAATTTTTGAGCATCCAAGAAAAATAACGCTCGCAGATTTTGTGTAAAAAAAGAAAAATATTGTGACATTGCGTTTGTAAAAGCAAAGTTACGTAGATTGAAAATAGAAGAAGAGTGTGAATGGCATAAAGACAAAATTATAAAACGTTAAAAAGGAATTAAAATTAAACAAACTTAATAGGAAAAATTGTAATAAAAAAAATAAAAATAGGAAAATGTATTAAAAATTAATCTTTGGCAGAATACAATCGAAAATTATTTCTCAATTAATGACAATGAGCTCCCGTAACAAGTGAGTGCTGCTAAAGTATAAATGTATAATGTTTTTGTGTGTTCCACTTATGTATTAATGTGTTAGTAAGAATTGGAGTCTTAATGCAAAAAGACTAAAGAAGAAGAAGAGATGATTCTGCATGAATGAATTTAAGTTATTATCTATAATTAAAATTTTTTTATATAGTGGGCGTTATGCTTCACTTCCTTTGATTTTTTTTTGTTTTTAGAAATATTAAATGCGCTGCTAAATATTAAATTAAAATTCTATAAATAAAAATTTTATTTAATTTTTTAGAACTGATGTTAAAAAATTATTTGAATATTGGTGTGAAGTAACGAGAACGCATAATATTGAATATACGAATATCGTTAATCGTAATGACGGGAATTTTATGACGCCATTTGGCATTATAACTGAAAGTTTTCCGGAAAGTTTTCGCGACGAGAAAACTATAGCCGATATACCAGCATTTGCATTTCCCTGCGATTTTGAAAGGTAAAGTATATGAATTGAAAGAAAAAATCATTGCTTACATTCTATGTTCAGCGAAAATGCGCCATTATTTCCACTGCAAATAATATTAATTTGAAAACCGCGTAGGTCTACGAAAATAACGCGACAAACATATATTTTTGATCATGTATATTGACTCAATTATGTTATGTTATTACAATTAACATAAATTTTATTAGAGCATGAACACTTCCGTTAACAACATGCATTTGACTAAAGAAATTGGGTAACGGTAATAGGCTCTTTGCTCTTTCCTAATTTGAAAGAAATAAGTGCTTGCATGTGTTTTAGTCAGCGACATGTATCGGTGATATGCTAAAGTAATGCGAGCTATGAAGTGTGTATGAAACTCGATTATTTTAAATTTCTCTACATGAAGTAACGCATTTCCGTTAGTATAATTGAGCTATCCAGTGTATACAGACTCTAATCATGGAGAGCTCAAAATCACACTTTCGACATTTATTATTTTTGTTTTTTTGATTTGACGAAATCTGCTGCCGAAGCCGATCAAACACGTTTAGAATCTAATGGTGATGGTGCTCCATTATATCCCACTTGTTGGTTTTGGTTTCAACGCGCTCCTCAAGAGAGATACCAAACGAATTGATTGAAAATGCCATTTCGAACCGTTCATTCATTACTTGCCAGACAAAAAAACCAAAAGTTTTCTGTAGTGAAAGTGGGTGGCGATGGAAAGTGGGTCTATTGCGACAATTCCAAATGCGAAAGCAGAACATTCATGGCCACAAGGTTTTGCTGTGCATATGGTGAGATCAGCAAGCGAGCTGCTAAAACCGAATGAAACTGTAGATAACGATAAGTGAACAAATTTAATGATGCATTTTTGCAAAAAAGACCAGCAATAACGGTTAACAGGCGAAAAATTATCCTCTTGCATGACAGCGCTCGGGCAGACTCTTCAATAGTTGTTAAGAATGCGCTGTTGCAGTACGAACGTTCTACCGCTCCAATCGTACTCACCAGACATAGCGCCTTTTGACGCGTGGCTTATCTGACACGCGGTTTCGAAATTCTGAAGAAGTGCAAAAATGGACCGACTGCTAAGACAATATCGTTCTTTCGACAGGGCGTGGAAAATATTTCCATTAACATATATTGTACCAGTTTTTCTCTATAAACACCTTTTTCAAGTGAAAAAATGATCAAAATATATGCATGCACCTAATATATGTTTTTGATAATATTAACCACCTTTTGCCACAAGTTACTCATCAAGCCAAGGAAATAATGTACAAATCAATGCATTCCCTAATACCTCAGGAAAAAATAACAATTTGTAATTAAATATCCAACTACCGACATAGTATAGTAGTGTATTGAATTAATATTCGACTCGACTCTAGGAATAGCACTTTGACTTCGCCTCTACCTCTACTCGCATCCTTAATTTTCTTTCTTACTTTCTCTTATATAAAATTAGTCAGAATATCTTGGTACAAAAGTGGTATGTGTGGGAGAGGACCATAAAAATATTGCAATAGATTTTTGTCGTTGATCGTTTTTCAGTAGGTTTAGACGTGTTTACAATAATTGCAATTAGACTACCGTACCATAAATACGAGAAACTCGATGCAAGTCTTATATAACCTCTTTTCTTTTTAAATATGAACTTTCTCTACGTTTGTTGTTTTCATATTGCTTATCTCAATGAAATACGCTCGTAATTTCCGCGATAAGATTGTGTTTACCACATATACGCTCATATATATTTGAATGAATTTGTAAACTGATGATGACTCATATTTATTAACCACAACCTTCTTCCACTTCATTCACTAACAGAGTAACAGAGTACACGCATAAGTAATATGTATCTTTCTATTTGAACAAAATACGTCACAACTTTGTTTTTCTTCCCAACATATATATACATCTGTACAATAAAAGTATTCCCTTTTCAATTGCGATTTTTTGTAATACGTTGTAAACAGACGGATGTTTGGTTAATAAAAATTTTCTGTTTTACATTTCAACATTTTAACTTTAAAATGTTTTTCGAAGAGATCTTCCGCGGCTTCGAGGTCGAAAACTTATAACAATAAATTTATGTTTTTATCGAAATATACACTTTGTACATATGTTCTTGAATACATAAAACATCAGTTACATTAATAGCTTACTTTTAGTGTAAATTATTTCTTTTTTTTTTGCGATATTCATTTAATTAATCAGTGTTATTAATGTTCTGGGACTGTTTATAATTTTTCAAGTAATTTTCGTTAACATGTTTAGAAAGTTTTTTATGTACTTTGCTTGCTTTTGTTTAGGCTATGATTCCATGTTCAAAATATTTTATTTTCTTTTTTTTTCTACTAAAATGTGGTAAATTGTCCAACGAGAACTAATGTAAGCAGTTCTGATGTCTCGTACATGCATGTGCGGAAACTCAGGTCGCTAAAAAATATATTAAGCTTTATTCTAATTACCGTGTTAAAAGTTTTAGGAAATATAATTAAAAAAGAAGTGAAAAGAAGAAGAAGTGGTACACGACTTACTATTAAATACGCAAACCACTTTGCGGTAGACAGCGATTGTGCTATATACAGTTAGTTAATAAGGACTTATATGGGAAGAGTTTGAAAACATTGTCCAAAACAGGGCCAAAACATGCCTGTGTATTAATTTTCTTCGAAATGTTTCAAAAGTTGCGCGCTGTAGGTTGAGCGCAAGAAAACAAGGCGGACAGTCGGACAAAAAAACTTGCATCGTCTCAGACAGCGATTCTCCATTGATATATATAATAAAAGTCTACGTAAACTTAATAGGAGGCGTAGGGTATAAATGAAAATTAAATTTAAATTCCAAGCGTCTTTGAGAGTGATTCGTTAGATGTTAACAAAAAGGAAATGAAAGAAATCTAAAGGAAGCACATTGCATGAGTTTAGGTTGACTGAGGCGATCCACTTCTCACACGTGAATATTCTGCTACATATATTGCTTTAAGCTAAACCTACTACCCTCACATACTTAAAGAGCAACTCACAGTTGTATTAAGTATGACGACTCCAATTCTCAACACCTAGTCCGATGGGGTGAGAAGGTAAGGTAAAATGTTAAGATTGAATGGATTAAAACGGCATAGCAGACGTTCGTACCGCATTTGCAATTAAAACGTAATTTATTTTGTTGGAATTTTCAGAATATTTTAATCTACGATTTTATCTATAATTTTTTACCCGTTCACAATATTACATTAATGAAGAAAAAGGAAACGTTCGAGGCGTTTCTTGCTATAATTGGCTTTAGAGTTTGTAACTTGGGCAATAGTAACTTAGTTAAGGCGTTGTTTATATTGTTTTAAGTTATTACTAAAAATTTATTTAAAATTTACTCAACTTTTATGTATTACACGATTACATCCTCAATGCATTTTAATGAATTTTATTGAAATATGGTAAACATAGAAAGGTTGCCCTTCGCAGGGATCCAAATGTGACAACTTGTTTAGTCATTTTTCTGACCATTGCTCTACGATTTTGTGTCGTATTTTTGGCATGACATGATTTACAATAGTTCGCACTGCAGAGGCCTTTCCAGGTTTTTTTCTGGTATTTGTGTCGTTGTGTTTCAGAAGTTGTTGCAACACCGCCACCTGGAATGTCTTCCTCTTGACAACTTGTATTTCTTTCCGGAATTTAGTTACGCTGATATCATTCTTCGTGATATCGCTACATCAAATTTCAGAGATGTAAGGTCCAATAATCATAATTAAAATAAAAATAGTGACATTTTTCAATTCACATCAGAGCAAATGTTTTTGGAAAATCAGACAAAATTCTGAAAAAATTTGCCGTTTGATAATATTTCTTCGTTTCGAAAAAATTCGCCAAGTTCATAACGATGATGTGTTGTCAAAATCAACAGCGCCATTTCGAACCGTGCCAAGCTCTACTCAGCCTCTCGTTGATAGGATCGATGCAGTTTTCCTAAAAATTAAAGAAACATTTACCATTCAAGAGAGTTTTGAACTGTTTGCATATGGATGGATACAGAACGATTATTTTGCTTTTGGGAGTCGCATGAGTTTGTCCATCGAATCTTTACTAAGGCAGAATGAAATTAACACATTTTTGAAAAGCGATGAAAGGTGGGTCATATAAGATGATAGTGTGCGAAAAAGTTCGGACCTCACGTAAAATTATAATATATATTTGGTGGGTTGGAAAGAACTGCTAGTCCAATAGCTAATGAGCTTAAATTGTGCAGCAAAACATCAAGCATCAGGCATTGAGGAATACAAAAGCATGCTACGGATACACTGATGAATACTGGTTTTTATTTTGCAAGAGCGCCAGGTCTGTTATTTCATGGATGCCCAGATTTACTTAGTTGCAAGCATCTCTGCTATATAGCAAAATCAGTTCACATGTTGAACTAGAACCAAAATTGTCGGTATATGTGACACCTGTTAACACAAGTATGCAATTTTGCTGTCTTTGTAAGCGTGCCATTCGTTTTTGTACCCTATATCACTTGTAGTACTGGGTATATTAACATAATGCGGTCGTATGTTACACGCAGAAGGGCGTAATATAGATACATTTTTTATGATGCCGATCGATTCAGAATCGTAACTTGAATTGGTCTAAAAGTGAAACGAAGCTATCGACTTCAAATCTGGCTGAAATATTGGAAATGCTTGCACGCAGATGGATGTTGAAAATCGGTCAAAGAATCGGCCAAATCGGTCGAAGAACATCTCCACTGCACCACGTAGACTGAGAACACCTGCGTTTTTAAAAAGGAAGAAAAAATATTTTTTTGCTCATTACTCATAAATCGTAGGCGATGGATGTATAAAAATTTGAACGCATAATCTATTAAAAGATATCGCCTACAAATTTCCAATAGAATTTGGAAGCGACTTTAACTTTTCCAAGGACACGCCTATGCGGAAGACTTTTCTTTCGAAAATATAAAAAATCACCCCCTCCATATTACGGAGCATGAAAATTTAA